GGCAGGGTACTCCCCAGCTCCTCAGACTGCCCACCTCAGACTGCCCCCAAGGATGAACTCCATAGCCTGGGAAGAGCTACATCTGTTACTGAGCTACCCTGACCATCCCCATAGCTCCGAAGAACAGGGCTGCCAGCTTACATTCAGGAGACATGAAGTGAATGAGCCTGCCCAAAGTGTCTCAGATAAAACTCAATTATAACATCTTTAATCTAAAGGAACTCTACAGACTGTGCAAGTGAAACCAAGTAGCATGCACTGTCACATCCACATCTTCTCCTTTCTTACTTGAAGCCCTTTCGTGCTAATGTTTCCTGCTGCAGAGGGTTTCTCACTGCTTGATCCTCCTTGCTTCTTCCCATCCTCCTATAGCCACCACAGATCACAGCTAGAGAGCAGGAACTCAGTTCTGTGCCACAACCGATGCTGGGAGCACCATGCACATCCTGGGGGACAGAACTGAGCACAGCCCTCCTGGGCCGCTGCGTTTCTGCCTCTCAGAGACCCCCCTGGTGCCAAGAGGCCCTGTTCCCAGAACAGCTCAAGGAACAGCACTGGGTTTCCCCTCTAGACAAGGCTTTGCATGCCCATTCCTCAGCTAGAGAGCAGCAGTGCAGCACGGGCTGCCCTCACAGAGCCTGCTGACAGCTCTCCTCAGGGAGGGCCGTGCAGGATGGCCAGCCAACGCTGTTAATGGGTCACTTTCCTATTGCAGAGGCTAAGATCAAGTCTGACATGCCCCAGCAAAGTGGGTCAGGCGCCGCGTTAGCATTTGCCCTCTGTACAATTAGGCTGCCGCACACTCACCTACTGCAAGGCTCTCCTCTGTCAGTCGGGCGGCAGCCACTGCCTACACCTTATGGAAATAGAGTCTGAGCAGCTAACGCGTGCCCGCAGCGCTTCCTAGCGCAGATGAGAAAGGGACAGAGCCCGGAGCGGAGCCGGAAGGCCGCGATCAGGAAAAGCCAGCATCGATTGCCATGGAATCCACCCGTGCTGCGGCACGCCGTGACTCACTGCAGGGCCGGCAGGGAGAGCCGAAGCGCCCGGGCCTTCTGACGGCCCTCCGCAAGGCGCGGGGCGGTTCCCGAGCCCCTTGCGGACACATCACGGCCCAGCCGCGCCCGCCCGCCCGCCCGCGGAGCCCCGAGCGGCGCACCTGGGTGGCGGGGCACGTCCCGGGACACGCGGTAGTAGCGGTAGAAGAGCTCCTTCCACAGGAACTCGTCGCGGGCCACGGCGCGCCACTGCCGGCACACGAGGCCCACCGCGAGCACGTCGGCGTGGTCCAGGTACAGGAAGATCTCAAAGAGCACGCTGTCCGGGAGCAGGGGGCCGCCCGCGGCCATCGTGTCATCCTGCCGCCGCACCGCGAGCGAGCGGCGCTCTGCTCGGGCCTGGCCCGGAGACGGCGCTCGCCCTGCGCCGGCCTCCCCGCCCCGCACTTCCGGCTTCTCCGCCCCGCACTTCCGCTCCGGCTCCGCGGAGCCGCTCTAGGCCGCCCTCTCGGTGGTTCTGCTCTTCCGCCCGCGGCGCCGCTCGCCGCTCCGAGCACAGCGCGCTAAACGCGGTGCGGTCGCTCTCGGTCGCCCCGCCCCTCCGCAGCGAGCCCCGCCCCGTGCGGTCGGACCACGCCCCCGGTGTTCGGGCTCCACCCGTCGCTCCGTGAGTCCGGGTCTCCCAGGCCGGGAGCTCGCAGCCAGGGGGCGTGGTGCTGTCAGCGCTGCCCCGCCGCGCCCCGCCGCTCCGTGGGGCCCTGAGAGCCCCCCACACCCACCCCGCCCCGGCTGCTCTCAGTGGAGGTCTCGCGCAGCCTCAGCCCGGCCCCCGGCTCCGTGCCCCCTGACCCCGTGTGCCGTGACCCCGTGCCCGCCCGGCTGTGCCCGGCCGCGCCGCTTCCCGGCACGGGGCTGCGCTGCGCCATGGCCGCCCTGCGCGCCCTCCTGCTCCTCTCCCTGCTCCTCGCCGCGCTGCAGGGACGGGGACAGCGGCCGCCCCTTCCCCGCAGCCTTCTTGAGAAAGTGGTGACCGAGGGGAACCTCGGGCTCGGCGAGGTGAGGCCAGGCGTCCCCCGCGGGCAGGGGCAATGGGAGCAGCACCGGGGCTGCGGTGTGGCCCCCGGTGCTCCCCTTTCCGATCCGGCCCCATAGCGCACCCCCAGTCCGCGCCTGGCCCCGCAGCGTGTCCCAGCCCGCTGCCCGCACAGCTCTGCCCAGGCGCTGCCACCCAGGCCTCCGGGTGCCTGTGGAGCTGGGGGCTCTTGGTGCTCATGGGGAGCGTGGGGCTGGGCTGCGGGGTCCCAAATGGAGCTATGGGGTGGGAGGCAGGTCTGTGGGGTGCTTGTCTGCCACATACTCAGGGCTGTGTGCAGTTGGTGTGTGCTGCTGGGTGATGTCCTGGGCACCCCATCGTGCTGCTGCTCCTGAATGAGGGTCCACAGTGAGCAGCACACCAAGCACGGGGCCGGGCTGCAGGCAGCAATGCCAAGCAAGAGGGGAGAGCACAAGAGGGGAGAAATGTGGGAGTGGGTGCTCAGCACAACAAGGTGGCAGCGGCAGTGCGCAGGGGTACCCCAGGGCCCGGGCCTGGATGACGGTGCCCACCTGGTGCTGTGCAGCTGGTGGGGAGGTGGTTCCTGGTCGGCACAGCATCCCGCTGCAGCTACCTGGCAGAGAACAGCCACCGACTGGAGGCCACGGCAATGACAGTGGCTGTCCCGGATGGGCAGAGCCTGGCCATCAGCACCTTCACGAAGCTGTGAGTGATGCTGGCTGCTGGTGGGATGGGATGCTGCAGATGGGCTGTGGGCTGCAAGGGGGGAGAGCTGCCCCCTTGCACTGGAGCAGTGAGAGTCTGGGGCATGAAGGAGGTGCGTGGCTGCTCCAGGGCTGCCTGCTCAGGGATTGCTTCGCAAGGGCTCCCACAGTGGCAGCACAGCTGATGTCTGGCTGTCTGTGGGTACTGAATGGCCGTGGGTGACACAGCTGTGTGGGGTGTCAGGGATAGAAGCTGCAAGGAGGGATAGGGGTGGCTGGCACGTGGTGCTCAGCAGTTACTGGGCTTCCCTTACATTGGTGCCCAGTGGAGAAAACCTCCTGAGAAAACAGATGGCATGTACAAGTTGGAAGGGCAGAGCTGGGGGCCAGCTGCAGCCCTGCAGCTTGCCCTGCGCTGTGCTTCTCTCCCTGCGCAGGGATGGGCAGTGCTGGGAGATCAGGCAGCGTTACGTCCCTGCAGGAGCCCATATGCGCTTCTCTGTGAGAGGTGAGCACGGGGCTGGGTGGGCACCATGGAGTGGGCCCCTCCTACTCCGATGGGGCTTTGGCACAAGTGGTTTCCCCCAGTGCTTCCCACCGTGCCACCTCTGGGGTCCAATTGTGTCCCTGTGCTGAGTGCTGCCATTGGCAATGCCATGGAGATGTGTGTGCCCTTGGTGCCCAGTCGCACACCTCGTGCCCTCTGGTGGTGACACGAGGCCCCAGGATGGTGCCCAGCTGGGCCACACCTGCCCCATTGTCTCCCACAGGCCGTGGCTACAACAGCAAGATGGAGGTGGTGGTGGGAGAGGCGGATCCCCGCAGCTATGCCATCATCTACTACCAGGACAGCCAAGGCCTCTCTGTCAAGCTCTATGGTGGGTTGGCATGGGGCAGTGGATGCCTATGCCTCACAGGATGCCCCACACCGTGCCCCACACCATGCCCACTGCAGGGAGCAGGGCCAGCAGCAAGGCTGTGATGGTGGGCTTCCCCCGCAGGCCGCAGCAGCCAGCTCAGCGACGCCATAGTGGACAAGTTTGAGCAGCGTGCCAGGGCCATGGGCCTAAGTGAGGACGTGACCTACTACTTCCCCACATATGGTGGGTTGGGTGCCACGCAGCTGCCAGGAGTGGGGGCAGCTGAAGGGGACCAGCACTGGTTGGGGTCTGGTACCAGCAGGGCGAGGGGGAGGGGGGGGCGGCACATCCACATGGATGTGGGAATGTGGCCTGCACAGGGCAGGTGACCGTCCTGGGCCCTCTCTCTCACAGGGTTCTGCGACTCTGCGGACGATTTCCACATCCTTGACGGTGAGCATGGCTCCACGCTGCCACAGCCCTGCCCTGCAGTGCTGCCACAGCACCGGGCAGGAGTTCTTCTGTGCCCTGATGTGGGGCTGGGAAGTGGCAGAGCATCACCCAGCGTGGCTATTGACCTCACATTGGCAAAGGAAAGCCCTGTTTGGCCCCTCTGTGGGTCCAGCTGGACTTAGTGGTGTCTGTACTGGGATGAGGGTCTGGGATGGGGCATCCTGGGATGGAGACAACGTGGCTGTTCTCAAAGGTGGCTCCACCATTTGTCATTGGGCATGGGGAGGCAGAGGTGAGTCCCAACCCTGGCACTGGGCTCTGCTCCAACCCCTCAGCACCTCTCTTTCTCTTCCAGAAACAGAGCTGTAGATGGAAGCAGTGTTTCCAGGATGTGCCCAGCGCTGATCTCTCACCTCATGCAGCTGCCCATGAACACAACCACACAGGGACGAGGTGGGGCTTGGCCAGCCCTGCTGCTGCTCTGCAGTGCTGGGAGCACACCCTGGGCTCCTCTGTTCCTCCAGCCTGGCTGTGTCACCCCATGGCTTCATGCCCTTTGCCCCATGCCCTTCAGCAACCAGCAACACCCCAATAAACACAAGGAAAAGCTCTGTGTCTAGGCAAGGCAGAATGCCTGGCTGCCTGTGGAAGCATGGCATGGGGAGCTTACAGCACTTGGTGCCCTGGGGCTGGAGGGCTTGGGGGGCACTGGGAACCTGCAGTGGGTCATCTCTTCCCACCAGAGACCTCAGGGGAGGAAAATGCAGCCTTGTAGCTGTCCTCTTTCTGTCTTCAGGTAAAACAGCTGTGACCCTGCCTGGGCCCTGTGGACCATGGTCTCCAAGAGGCTGTTGCCACCTCCGACAGTGCCCAGCTGACAGCCAGGCAGAGGACATGCCTGGAGTCTGCCGCACAGACTGAGGGCTGCAGGGTTAACCCTAGGGGCTCAGGGCCCCCAGCAGCCTGATACACGTCCAACCTGGCAGGGCTGCTTTGGTTCCAACCTCCCAGCGCAGGCTGGAGTTGGAGGGGAAGGGGCACACCCCGAGAGGAGCCCCCAGCCGTTTCTGCTGAGGCAGCAGCAGGCTGGAAAGCCCCTTCCCCACAGTCCCCCCACAGCAGGCTGGTCTGCAGCCCCTGGGGTGGGAGCAGCCCTCTGCCCCCAGCACTGACGTTTTGCAATCTTAGCGGAAACTGGTAACACATGTTGTTTATCAGGGCCTTATGTAAGGATCCGCCACGTGACCCGTCCTAAGCCAGCCGCTGTCCTGCTGCCCACATGTGGGGCAGCCATGTCTGGCCATGCTCACAGAGCTGCCAGGCCGCCTGCTGAGCCCACTGCCTTGGAGTCAGGGCACTGTGGGCCCGAGCCACCCAGTACAGCTTGCTTCACCCAGCATGGAGCTGCTCCCTAGAAGTGGCAGCATCATGGTGGAAGCATGGCATGCCAATGGGAGCCATGGGCTCTTCCAGCCCAGCCTGCAGCCACCTGGCATCACCCCTTGGGACCCTGTGCGCTCCTCAGCATCTCTGCCAGGCACACGGGGTGCTGCACGCCTCTGTTTCCCAATGGAAAGAGCTCTCCCCAGCATCCCGCACCCCAAGGGGCCCATGGAGTGCACCCACCCCACACCCACACCTGGGCTCAGCCCAGGGCTGGAAGTGGCATGCAGGAGCCCAGGGTGCTTTCGTGATGCTCAATCCTGCCCAGCTCAGCTTTGTTTTGTTTTAATAAATCCGCAGCAGCAGGGCCAGCCCAGCCCCCAGCACATGCTGTGCAGCACAGGCTTGGCTCGCAGCTGGATGTGGAGAAGGGAATGTACTCAGGCGGCCAGGCAGGGTGGGCTGCCGAGAGGAAAAAAACAGCTGCTGTGAAAACATGCTCCTTATGTAAAGAGCCTTGGAAGGGCTGTGCTGCAGGGAGAGTCACAGGCTGGCAGTGGGCACCTGCCAGATCCACAGCCCCAGGGCAGCACGACCTGCCTGGTGCTCTGTTCCGTGCAGTCCTGCCCAGCCCCACAGGGCTACCAGTAACAGCAGTGATCACCCCCAGCCCTCGCCCTGCTGCAGTCCCAATCCAACAGGGACAACTGCTCCTGGAGAAGGGTGTGGGGTGACACTGGGGGTCTATCTGACTGCATGCTGTTGGCCGGGAGCTTTTCAGGGACGGGGGTCAGCACAAGGCAGGGGGTTCCCATGGGTGTACCCAAAGGTGCCCACAGATCCCATGGATCAGATCAGGACCTGGCAGGCACTTGTGCTGTGCTTAGGTCCCTCTCTGGGTCTGAACGATGTTTTTCTGCAAGGCAGGGGCAGGCAGCAAAACTTGACCCCTGGTGTCCCCACGCTCTGCCCATGGCAGCCCCACTTCCCCCAGTCCCTGTGCTGTGCAGCTCTGTGGCAGGGATAGCCAGTGAACTGGCTGACAGCTGTGTTTGTGCTGCAGAGCAGTTTGGCACCCCAAGGCAAACATGTAATATCAACAGGAAGGAAAAATTCACAGGTTCCCAGCCTGCCCTTTGGATTCAGCTCTTGCCCCTGCTCCCGCTTGCATAACGGCACGGGGGGAGACAGGGCTGGCCTGCCTGCCTCACCGGCCCCCTGGGGCCGCTGCGCTGCCTGTCCATAAATAGGGGCTCAGTGCTGCGTCCAGCACTGCCTGCAGCTCCCGCTCCACTCAGCTCTGCTCTGCTGGGGACATGCAAGCCACGCTGCTCAGCATCCTGGGGCTGGCCCTGCTTGGGGCTCTGCACGCGCAGAACAGCGTTCCTGTGCAAGCTGACTTCCAGCAGGACAAGGTGATCCAGTCCGGCCAGCCTTGCTGTGTGGGGCCAGGGTGTGTGGGATGCTCATCTCCCCAGAAATGTGCAGCAAGGGGGGTACTGGTGGGCTGGGGGCCCTTCTGCCCTGGGAACAAGGAGAAGGGGGCACCTGTTGTATCCTCAGCCCAGCACTGGGGTCCCACCAAGCTGGGGCATGGGCTGTGCTGCTGGGTCCTACAAGAAGCTCCTGGGGGAGTCTGGGTGGAACAGCTGCCCCAAAGAGGTGATGGGGAAGGGGACACATCCATGCTGGCCCCAGCCTGGGCTGGTCCGTGGTCTTGGATGCTTGTCACAGAATCCTGGCCCATTCCGTGTGCTGTGCCTGGACGCAAATGGGACTTCTGCTCTGGGTGGCCCTGTCTTCTCAGTAGGGCTGGGGGGGATGGGGAGGGCAGCAATATGCTCAGTTAGCCACGGCTCTGCCGGCCTTGAGGGCTGCAGCATGGCACAGCCCTCCTGCCCAGCGCTGAGCAGAGTTTGTGTACAGCTCGCGGGGAGATGGTACAGCATCGGCCTGGCCTCCAACTCCAACTGGTTCAAAGACAAGAAGCACCTGATGAAGATGTGTACCACAGACATCACTGTCACTGCAGATGGCAACATGGAGGTCACCTCCACCTACCCCAAGTACGGGTGGCGGGGAGCTGGGGGGCACAGTGCAGTGCTGGGGGCTGCTGGGTGGGCACTGGGGGTGCTGAGCTCCACACCCCTCCCTCCCCATGGTCCTTCTGATGGCTCTGTGCTGCTCCCCAGGGGTGATCATTGTGAGAAGAGGAACAGCCTCTATATCCGGACGGAGCAGCCCGGGCGGTTCAGCTACACCAGCCCACGTGAGCCTCTGCAGCCTCGTCTCAACCCTGCAGCGATGTGGCCCTTGGGGGTTTGGGGCCCGGGCTCAGCGTTGGGCTGAGTGGTGCCCTCTCCATTCCCACAGGCTGGGGCAGCAACCATGACATCCGTGTGGTGGAGACCAACTATGACGAGTATGCCCTGGTGGCCACCCAGATCTCCAAGAGCACCGGCTCCTCCAACATGGTGCTGCTCTACAGTACGTCCCCACGCTGCCCCACCCTGCTGCTGAGACCCCTGGGCTTTCCTCAGGGGGCATCTGTCCTGCAGTAGGGAGTAATGGGGCAGCACCTCCAGGCCGGGTCCCCCTCCCCTGGCTCCCCGGGGCTGCCCTCACCTTGCTCTCACCGCAGGCCGCACCAAGGAGCTTGCACCCCAGCGCCTGGAGAGGTTCATGCAGTTCTCCCAGGAGCAGGGCCTGAAGGACGAGGAGATCCTCATCCTGCCCCAGACAGGTAAGGGTGGGCAGCTCACAGTGGCTCCTGGCTGCACTCAGCCCATAGGGATGGAGGGAGGAGGTGCAGGTCCTTGGAGGGTTGTACCAGATCCCGGGGCAGTAGTGCCCTTAACCACGGTGAAGATGATCTCTGCTTTTCTTCTTTCTGCAGACAAGTGCATGGCAGACGCTGCCTAGGTGAGTCCTTCCCTCGATGGGGGCTGGGGGTTCCCAGCATTGCCTCCACCCTGCAGAGCCCTGGTGCCATCAGCCCATGAAGCTGCTCAGCTCTACTGGGGCTGGCTCAGGTACTGTCACCCCATGCCAGCCCCCACCAGCTCAGCAGCACTCATTTCTCCTCTCTCCCATGCAGGCTGCTGGTGGATGGAACTTCAAGCGTGCCACGAGCCAACAACCACTCCATCCTGACCCCAGTGCCATAATCTACCTTCACTTCCTGGCTTTGCACCCTGCATATCTGTCCCTGTCCTTATTAAAGCCCATATAAACTACTGTTTCCCGCTTGTGTCTGTTGGGTTGTTGTGTTGCGGGGGCCCAGTGGGTGTTCCCGGGTTCCAGTTTAGTTGGGGAGGTGATGGGTTTGTACCCTGTATGCACACACACGGTGCTGCCTGGCCATGAAACCTGCCTCATCTGGAACAAAGGGGTCCCAGGACTGAGAAGGGCTGAGACTGGCCTGTATGCCACATTGGCCACACCAGCCTCCCTGCCTCAGTTTCCCCTCTGGAGAGTAGACTGGCTGTGTGGGCATGTGGTAATGAGAGATCACAGAGAGGATCTCCAAAACCACAGCAAGAAAATGGACGCAAACCAGATGGATGTCATGCTCAGTCCCAGCTGCCCAGTGCTCCCTGTCCCGTGACCCTGAGTCCTGCCCTGGAGTGGGGTCTGCACCCACTGGCTGCAAATTGACCCCAGACTTAAGCCCCATCCCACTGCTCTCCCCATCCTGATACAGCCGGACCCTGGGAGGGAAGCCAGAGAACCTCTACACCCATGGCCCCCTCCCTGGACCCACTTTGGCACAGATGGTGCCAGTCCCCAACATGCTCCATGCTGGATCTGACACAATGCCACATTCATTTGGGACAGAGCAATTAGACTGGGAAGGGGCCAAAGTTGTCACCTAACACGGGAACAACTTATCACTGCTCTTGTGTAACCTGTTGCATAAAGTGGGGCGGTTGGGGGGTGCTGCCAGCAGTGAGGGCTATAAAGGTAGGTGCAGGAAAAGGCAGCACCATGCAGCCTCTCTTGCAGCATCCAGACAGCATCCAGACCCCAAAGCGAGGATGACAGCGGTGCTACCAAGCCTGGTGCTGACCCTGCTCTGCCTGCTGCGGGCTGGGGCTGAGGTCCCTGTGCAGCTGGACTTCGACACCAAGAAGGTAATGGCATAGGGTGCCAGCCTGCCTGGGCTGGGGCAGGGCTGCAGAGCTGCATCCCCAGGCACCCCTGATCTCAGCTCTGGGTCTTCTCCAGAGCCTCTGTGCCTCTGCTGTGAGGCTGTGGGTACCTATGCACAACCAGAGCAGTGCTGGACCGCTGTGCTGGCCCTACTGTGGGAATACAACACCCTGGGGCTATGGTGGCCCAGGGAATGTGGAGCTACCCCAGGGAACGTGGGCTGAATGCCATGCTCACCCCATGGCACAAAGCAGGAGTGCTCTGCGTGCAGGTCCCCATGCTAGGTTTGGCTGGTCCCTACAGCAGGAGGCAGGTCTCTGCAGAGAACAGCAGGCCCCCATGGCATGTGACAGGTCCCTGTGCAGAAAGGCAGGTCCCCATTGGAGATGACAGGTGCCTGCCATGGGGTGGCAGGTCTCCCAGGGCAGATGGCAGGTCCCTACAGTACACAACAAATCCCTGCGATGGGGTGGAAAGTCCCTATGGCAGCTGACAAGTCCCTTACCACAAGCTGATGGGGCCCCATGGTGGGTACATGTCCCCCAGATGGGTGGCAGGTCCCAGTGGTGGGTGGCAGGTCGCTATGTTGGGGTGGCAAGTCTTCCACCCAGGCTGACAGGACCCCATAGTGGGTATGGGTCCCCCTGGCAGGTGGTAGCTCCTCAGATCTTCCCCAAACCCTGGCAGTGACGGCTCACTGCAGTTTGCAGGGATGTGGCACATCATGGCTGCTGTTTCCAACTGCCCTGTGTTCCTGAGCATGAAGGATAAGATGACATCATCTGCCACCGCCATCAGCTTCACGCCGGAGGGACACATGGCCATGGAGACAGTCCTCCCGCTGTGAGTCCCATTGCAGTGGTACCTCCTGGGCCGGGCAATGCCCAAGCTGTGGGCTGCATGGCCCCGCATGTCCTGCTGCCTGGGATGCCACCCTCTGGCTCCAAGCTTCATTTGCTGTTTCATTTTTCCCCTTCCAGGCCAGAAGAATGCAAAAAGATTATGATGCTGTTCCAGCACGGTGGGCAGGCAGGGCACTACATCGGCACAGGTATGTGTGGGCAGGAGCTCTGAAATGCAGGGTGGGCGGCACCTGTCCTGCTGCGCCCAGGGGCAGCAGGAGGTGGGTCGGCTTCTCTGCCTCCACCGGTGACTGCACACAGCTGCTGGCCCTGTGCAGCACCTCCCTTCTCAGACCCCAATGGGCACACTGCAGCCACGGGCTGACTGGGTGCTCTCTGGGGTCTTTTAGAAAAGGGAGAGAAGAGGGATCTGCGTGTGATGGACACAGACTACGAGCACTACGCCATCGTGTACACCCAGCAGAAAGACAGCCAGGAACCCAGCACCATGCTGCAGCTCTACAGTGGGTGCCCATCCCATGGGGGGTGGCAGGGCTGGGACCCCCATTGCCACCCAGAGCCACTGCGTCAGCACCCAGCACGCCAGCATCTTCCTGTGCCCAAAAAGTCCTTTTTGGAGTGAACAAATTATGACATTGGCAATATCCCCAGTTACCAGTAACCCTAGTTTGCACCATTTTAAACTAAATCCCCACCTGCAGCATGCCACTCAAGCTGCAGACCCCCAGGGCTGCTGGGGCTGTATGGGGAGTGCACAGCCCCCCGGGTGTGATCACAGAGGAGTCTGGTGGCCGTTCTGCACCTCATCCCCTACTGCTTTGCCCATTCCAGGGGTCCCGCCCCAGATGAGGTGCTGGCTGTAGGGCCCCTCATTCACAGCCCCTGCTTTGGTTTCCACCTACAGCAAGGAATCAGGACATGAGCCCACAGCTCCTGCAGAAATTCAAGAAGCTCTTCCATTCCGTGGGCCTGACTGAGGACATGCTGGTTGTGCTGCCACACTCGGGTGAGTGCCAGAAGGGAGGTGGCATTCGTGTCCTCTCTGTATGGGGATGCTCCAGTGGGACTCAGCACTTGCAGTGTGGGCCATGCTCATCCCTCTTCTCACTCTGAACAGATCGGTGCACCAAGACTCGCAAGTGAGCACAGGCTGAGCAAAGATGCACAGCCCCTCCAAGTGCCTGCTGACCCCCTGTCCATCTGTCCATCCATCCTGCTTCCCTGCAGCTGAGGGGCTGACACAGGGCTGTGTGTCCTTGGGACCTGGCTCAGTGCCCACTCCGTGCTGCCCCTTTCCACCCCTCCCAGCCTTGCTGCTCTATGCTGGGAGCACACATTTCTGCTTGAAATAAATAGATGCAGAAGCTGCCCCTGAGCTCAGTGCTTTTGTTGTGAGGGCTGGGGGTGCTGTCCGCAGCCTTGCTCCAAATCCATCCCTCCAGAACCACAGGGCAGTCTGGGGGCTCCTTTGCTGTGTGGTTTGCAGAGCCCACCCAGCGTGGGGAGCCCAGCTGGGCAGAGTGGGAAGCGGGCAGCCCCCAGGACATCCAGCTCCCTGCACAGGTGGGCAAAGGGCTGCCCCATGTCTAATCAGGGCCCCCACATCTACCTGCCACCCACTGCCCCATCTGCCCACTGGCAAAGAGCTGTGGGGGCAGTAGGGCCGTGCCCCCATCCCCTCTGCATTCCCCAGCAAGTGGTGGCCGAGAAAGGGGAGTCCCTCAGCACACACCTGGGTGTGGGATTTGTGAGGATGCAACGCGAGCCCTTTGGAACCCTGGACCCCTAAGAGCCAGAGCAGAGGGGCAGCATACCCTGGCCAGGAGGGCACACGTGTGCGCTGCCATCCAGGCGGGGGGTTGACGATGGGAGCAGCCTCGGGGCAGATGCCAGTCACAGCTGTGCTGGGGCTGCCCATGGACGCTGTGCCGGGAATGACCTCCCTGCTTCTCCCGGCAGTTCTCAGCCAGGAAACAAGAAGTGCCTTTGTTCTTTCACAAGACACTTCAAGAAAACAAGAAAATCTTCACTTTCAGCTGTGGTGCAATAGCAGTCCTGCAACCCCACTACTCAGACCCCTCCTCAGGGCTTGCAACACTTTCCTCTTTCCGTAAGCCTCTGTTTACCCTGGAATGGCTTCAACTCCCACAGCAGCACCTCGCCCCACACCAACAATAGCAGCGCTCTCCGTGCGGCACAGCACGCAGCGCGGGGGCACGGGGGGGGAGCACAGCCCTATAAAGCCAACAGCACCGGGACCGCTCCCCATCCCGCGGTGACGCCGGAGGCTGCACGAGATGAGGACGCTGGCACTGAGCCTGGCGCTGGCCCTGCTCTGCTTGCTGCACGCGGGGGCTGCAGCCACAGTGCCGGACAGGAGCGAGGTGACCTGCGGAACGCCGGGGAAGGGACTGTGGGCTCTGTTCACTACGGTGGGGATGGGAGGACCTTTCGCTTGCTGGGGATAGCTGGGGACACCACAGCTAACGCTGAAAGCACTGCACGCCCAGCCCTGGCACAGTGGTGCAGCAGGGGTTTAGGTGTCTGTAAGGGATGCAGGTGCCCAGAAAGGAACGCATCCTGCCAGGTCCTCCAGGCTCACAGCCCATTCCCGCTGCCAGATTGCAGGAAAATGGTATGTTGTTGCTCTGGCCTCCAACTCCGAGAATTTACTGCGTGAGAAGGGCAACATGAAGATGGCAGTGGTCAGAATCTCTTTCCCAGGAGAGGATGAGCTGGAGGTCTCCTATGCTGTCCCCAAGTAAGTGCCAGGTGCTTCTCTCCCTTGGCTTTTGGTCAGTGGGTGCCCACCCAGGTGCCCCTACCCAGTATGCCCACAAACCTGGGCATTGGGACACCACTGTCAGCAGCTGAAGGTCTCCTCTGCTACCCAATATAAGTGCCAGGTTCTGTTCTCCCTGTCCTGCTCTGGCAGCCATTGCTGCATGAGTGGTGGCTCTCCCCAGGACACACCATCCTCTATCAGCACCTCCTGTGTTGGAGGTGTGACCCTGACTCCAAAGCTTGCGTCCTGGGGAGGGGAACCTCACCCAGCAAGGACAAAACCAGGTGGATCTGAGCACATGTTGAGGATGTGTGACAGTGCATTCTTCCTTGCCTTGCAGCCCAAAGGGGTGCAGAAAATGGGGGACAACCTTCAAGAAGACCAGTGACGATGGTGAAGTCTACTACTCAGGTGAGTGGGAACAGAGTCACGGGCAGAGTCAGAGACATCATTTGTCCCTGGGACATCTCCCACCACTGGTCCCAACCACCCACTCAACACCACTCCATGTGGGGGCCATGCCCCACCAGCAGTGGCTCCTTCTGGGTAGCTGCTTGCAGGAGGACAGCCTCATACCACATGAGCCTAACTGTGGGTGAAGCAGAGTTGTTTTGCAACAGGGACAAAACAGCAGTGCTTTCCCCCATCCCCCACCCAAGTGCTAGTCCCAAATTGGCCAGGATGCTCTGCTACCCACAGTGGCCATCCCCAGACCCTCCTGCACTCAAGGTCCTGGTCACTCTGCCGATCTTTACCATGATCTGTGGGCTCCCCAGGCTTTTGGAGGAGTCTTACCAAGAGGGAAAGCCAGGAGGGGGAATGCAGCAGAAATATGGGCTGGGTGGATCAATGAATGGGCATTCACACTCTTATAGTCCTTTTGCAGCATGAGAGCTCTCAGGGGCATGTAGCAAATTTTTCACTTTGCTCCATGTCCTTTTTCAGAGGAAGCCAAGAAAACAGTGGAGGTGCTGGACACCGACTACAAGACCTATGCAGTAATCTTTGCAACTAGGGTGAAGGATGGGAAGACCTTGCACATGATGAGGCTCTACAGTGCGTAGCCAAGCCGGGGCTGTGGGAATGAGGCGCAAGGGGAGGATGGGACATGGAGACACCTTGTGCTACAACTGCCCATGTGCCAGTTCTGGTTTAGGAGGTAGATGAAGGCAGGGGGAAGTGGAAGGAGCAGCATTTTGGGGCTGGGTCTTGGGTTTCTGCACTGTGCCAGGTATCCATGGCCTCGGTAAGTCATTTGGTGAAATAGAGCTAAGAGCTGGAGTCCTGCTGCAAGGAGAGGTCAGAAAGGGTGGGATTGGGATCCTAGAGACACTGGGCTGCCCAGGGACCCTGGTGCCAGGGCATCACCTGTCCCACCCAGCAAGCAGCTAACTCCTTCCTTCAGGCAGAAGCCGTGAGGTGAGCCCCGCAGCCACGGCGATCTTCAGGACGCTTGCTAAGGAGCGGAACTACACAGACGAGATGGTCATCATGCTGCCCAGCCAGGGTGAGTGTGGCCAAGTGCTGTGTTTGGAGCCACCAGGCTGGTTCAGTCCTCACGGGGAGCCTGAGTGGGCTGGCAGGGACTGGTTGGTGGTGTGGGCAGCCAGGAGGTGATGAGGGGCTTGGCACACTGTGACTTCTGTCTTGCTCACTTTCCTGGATTGTCTGCCTCCTCCTGTGGGTGCTAAATGGGACTGGCAAGACCAAAGCCCTGCTCTCAGCCTTTCTTTTTATTTTCACAGATAAATGCAGCGTTGATGAAGTGTAGGTAAGTTGCTGCAGTGCAACACAGTATTTGCAATGTATCCTCACCTGGAAATTTCTTCCTTGGTACTTGAACATGGGGCCACCATGAGTTCCTCAAATTACTCTGGGGGCTGAATTGTTTGAAGATGTGCTGGAGCACACATCCAGGCAGGATGGATTCTTTTGGATCTTCCCGGCAGTGGGAAGCACAGGGATGCAATGCAGGTGCAGCTGCCTGATGGTGGGCAGTGACACCTGAAGCAAAACCTGCTCAGAAATGGCTGCTGAGTTCATCCAGTGGCAAGGGCCAGGACATTGGATCTTGCCAAAGGGACTGCAATGAAATGAACCAGTAAAGCTGGCAAATCGGGGTTGGTGTCTCACCATGCAAAACATGCTGGCTGTCAGCCTACTGAGCAGCCCTAGCATTCATTTTTCCCCCACAGCGGCGCACATTTAGTTGTAGGGTAGACAAGAAACTCATCCCTGGAGATGGCTGAAGTCCAGAGAGCAGAGGAAGGCCCTCCCTGCTCTGCTGTCCTTCCACCTCAAATACTCAGCACGCTTCTCCTGGCTGTTTTCTACAGGATGGCTGATGGATGCTGCTTCCCAAAAGAACAAGACTAACGTGCCAAAACTCCAGGCTGCTGCTCTGCCACCCCTATCATGGCTCTGAGGCATCTCCCGCTTCACCAGCACGCGGTCCCTCCTTTTTGCCCAAATAAACAGAAACTTTCCCAAGAGCCTGGTGTGACTGGAGAGAATCTGGGGTGCCTGGGCAGGTGCTGCCGCCTGCTGTCCTCCTGGGGTTTGCGGACGGAAAACAACCAGGGGTGGTCCTGCAGTGAGCTCACTCCTGCGGATTTGCCTCCCTGCTGCTCTCTGCTGGCAAGGATATTGGCAGGGTCTGTCCCAGCACTGAGCTCATCGGGATTTTCCCAGCTGCTCCTTCCCCATCACAGGGACTGGGAAAATATGGTTGAGAAATTTCTCCTCCCGGTCTTGGCACTGAGCAGAAGTGGGAGCTGGACACGTCCCGACAGTGTCTGGGCAGGGGATCCCACTGGGACTTCCAGAGCCAGCATCACTTCCGCCTTCTTTGGGAAGAAGCCCAGTGCTTGCAGCAGGAATTTGCCCTCCTGCTCAATCTGGTCAGCTCAGGAACAGCTCAGAACCTGCAGTGGTCCCAAGAATGCTGGGCCCTCATGTGGCTTTGCCTCGAGGCTTGTTTTCAGTACACTTGTTGATGCGGATCACGACATCCTGCTGCCAGTAACACCCTTTTCCAAGAGCTCTCTATGACAGGGAGTCCCAGTGTCTCCACACTGTGTCCCAGCCAAATATTTCCTTCCTGCCACGTGTGGGCATCACTCAGCCAGGCGGCAGTGAAATCATTCTTCTCTGCCTCTTGCATTTTCCACTCCTCCTTTTGCCCATCTGCTTTCTGCCCAAATGGTTGCCCAGAGCAACTTTGCATAGCAATTTCTGCTTCACCATCATTTCTGACCCATTTCTGCATGCAACACCCCTTCCTGCAGAGTGGGGAACTGTCCTTACTCACGATCCACACTGAGCATATTCACTGTAGCTGGTGTTCACCCAAAATCAAGGGAGTTTCACCACAATGCATTCCCCAGCCTGATGCTTCTTTGTAGCCAAGAGCCATCCTAGGAGACCAGTGCTGGGTGCTGTGGGTCTGGGTGCCAGGGTGCTGGGTGCCAGGGCACAGCTCCTGCCCTGCCTGGCTGTTGTGCCATGTTGCACTATGTGTCCCCTTGCAGACTGTGCCTTCAGATATTAGTAGATAGAGGACAAAGAGGAGCAAATGGGAC